CACCTCAGTGAACCCAGATAATACTCTGGCTTTTAAGGTAAATTCGGAGCTGTATAGGTTAGTATTTTGTGTCATAGTGTCATTATAGTATATAAACTAGTAGTAATAGAATAGAATGAAGCATCTATAAAGGTCTAGTCAAACATAAGATCCACAAAAACAAATAGATTTGCTTGTATTGTCTGTATTGCAACAAACCAAACCAAAAAAAAAAGAAAAAAAAACCCTCACTCTAAGCAACCTCTCCACAGATCTAACCTGACCACCAGAAAAGTTCTACAGAGCGACTTTAATGAAATACAGCATGTTGCCTTGTCCTCTCTCTTTAATGTTGCTGTTGTGTCTGCTCTGTCATTGGATTGGTTTATGGGGTCAGGAGGAAGCAAAGCCACACGCTGCAGGCAATCTGACATCAATCAGCAGGTGCTCGGATCAAAAAGCACGAGAAGCTCTACCACTACAATTATACAGAAGTGTTATTAAGAAAAAGGAAATTAAACCATTTGTACCTTAGTCTTTCTGTACACTTTATTTATTATTCACAGACCTTGTCTCTTACTTCATCTATACCAGAACAAATGAGCATGACTATTTGTCCCATGACCCAGACATTTTTGTGTTGCAATGCACAGTCCAGAAAAAGCAGAAGAAAAACATGAAGTAAAGATGATAAAGTAATAAAATGTTAACCAACATTATTGTAAACATCTTTAAAGATGCATAGTGTAACTTTCTGGTGGAGGGGCCTCTACCTGCTTGCCTTCATGGAAATTGCATGGTTTTGCTTTTGAATACTCCACAGTATCTCATTAAACGTATCCATCATGCATTTATTCAGTCACAGGTGATTTTATTTCTCCAAAATATTTTGAAAAAAAAAAGACAGTAGACAGTAACTTGGCTTGCTGGCATCACATGTTTGTCATCATAGAGATATATAAACTTAATGCCATGCTGTGGAACATTCCAAGCAAATAATAACATGGAGGCAAGCAAGTGTCAGGTAGCCTGAACCATCTGCGAGGACAGACAGTTTCACTACGTGGAAACTATCTGTCCTCACAGCATTAGGATTTGTTTGCTCGAATGTAGACAGGTACTTTTTTTCATTTAACCAATTGCTGCTATTTGGTCGTAACATATGTAATGTGCCAAATCCTGTAGGAAGAAGGGCAATAACATCTTTCCCCTTGATAAAACCCACCCAACATTCGTCTACATCCATCTCAACAGCTTTGTTTACTGTTGTGCTGTACCACAAAAGGGACCCAGACAGGTGTTTGAGTTTGACGTCATGGCTTCACAGCTCTAAGCTGATTGACCGGTGCGCGGTCTACAACTTCTGGGGTTCTTGCAAACCGTCTAGTGTTTTCTGATTCCTGACCTAATTGCTGGAGAGAAATGAAATTGAGCGGAGGCACGAGGTGGCACCAGCCTGGCTGAGTGTCAGGCCCTCCACCAGCAAAGTTTACACAATGCATCTTTAATTTCATGCAGTAAAAGTTTTATTCGACAAAGCTTGGCAATTGAAAATCAAAAACTAAAACGGTGGATTTTTTTTTCCAGCAGAAAATGGATTCCTCTTAAGTGATTTGCCTGTATTTGGAATGTGGTTCAGACCTTATCACAGCTGACCAGACGCACACGTATATGGACACTCCACACACAAAGAATGCATTGTGCTCCTTATACTGTGCTTATGTCCTCGGCAGGTTCAAACTTCACACTGCCATCTCACCCCAGCAGACACAAGAGTGGTATGAGACAAGTACAATGGAGGATTCTGTGTTTTTCAGACATAACTCAGTTCAACAGGCTCCACTCATTACCTCTCATGGGTCAAGACTAACTGTACAACAGCTTTCTATTAGAAACTCAAAGAATCCTGGGTCAAATCAAAACCAGTCCTTTGAAACTGAATAAGTATGGCTGCTCATTGCACTTTATTACATTACAATATTAAATTAGAGATCTGTGTGGGGTTGTCATGCCAGCTTGTGTCCCAGCTTTTCCTAAACCATCGAAAGAAGAGACTTGCTTGATCAGTTGACAATAAAAGACAAAAGACAATAACTTCTCTAAGACAAACTACTTCCTGTTATATTTTAAGGACCATTTCTAATTCACAAGAGCCTTTTTCGTTAATCACTATGGATATGGGCCGAATTTTTCATCATTCAGAAACCTATCGATTACAGCATGATTACATAATACACTTTAAAGCGCCCTTATTACTCTATTTTTTTTCAATTTTCTATAGGATCAGGAAGTGCTCCACTGTGTCTTTAAACTCCATTCACCTTTACTCAAATAACTTGGATAATTTCAGCCCCGGAAATTCCAGTCTCTACTGAATTAAAGGTAAAAAGAAGCTGTTAACATGAAAACTACAGCTTAATGACATCCTAAGGTGGAACAAAGCATTTTGAGCTTTAGAGTCTAATAATTAAGGATTACTCAGACATATGTGAATGAAATGAAGCACGACTCCAGGCAAGAGATTATTTAGGGGTTGCCTTGTCACGATCTGCATGTAGGTCTGCAATATACAGTTCTGACACATGAGAAAGCGAGTGAGTCAGTGGATTTGTGAACTTTTAGTCATTTTGGATGAGCATTTCATCAGAATATCCTGTCCTCAGTAGGGCCAGTATTTTGATGTTTATTCCTTTCACTACTACTGAAACCTGCACCTGATCTGCTGCTGCGTTCTCCTCCTGCATCCCGGACTGGAACACGCTGCAAAAACATAAACAGTCCCACCTATCTTATTAGAAATGTAAAAATGTTAAGACATGTTTTATATAATTTCTAATCTTTTTGTAATTATTTTATTGAATATTTTGTTCCAATATTGCTGGTTAAAATGAATGTTGAAAAGAAAAAGAAATGGGCTAGATTTAATGTCCAAATATGCGATTATTGTTCCTTTTATTGCCAGTTCAATTACATTATTTAAGACTTGAGTAATACTAATTGTTCAGAGAGACACAATCACTCAGTCAACAATAAAATATTCTCATTAATGTTCAGTAATAATTTGTGATTTACAAATAATTTCTGTCTTGACTTGGGTTGCAAAGGTTTGTGACTTTTAAAATATGGCTCCCCAGAAAAAAAGTTTCAGAAACACTGATTTAAGCTCACATGAGTCAATCTCACATTATATAAGAACTTTAATGTAACTATATATTTATGTCTATAGGCTGATCCTCGAATGAACTCTTATTGCCTATAGAGCAATTATATTAATAAAAAAGCATCATATATCAAACTACTGCTCCAACACATTATTCCTCCTACTGAACACACTTAAACTATACAGCCTGCAAATTACACCATTCATTATTATAACGAAGCCATTTTAAGTCTTTACCACTCTGGCCTGTTTTGTAATCAATTTTGCCTGGTTACGATGGGTGTCATGGTAGACTGATTCATAGGGAGGATATGGGAGTAATCTGATAATCAAAGGCAGGACCTACCCCCATCTTTTCTTCAATAAATCTGAGATGGGCTATCCCTCCTGAAAAGTAATTCAGCTGAGTGAAAATAATGGAATCCTGATTTATGGACTCCCTGCCTTTTGTCTCAACACTTTAATTATTTATAATCCCATATCCAGCAGGTGCTATTAATGGGTGCTTACATGAATATTTAATTGAGTAGTTTTAAATCTTGGCTTGAAGCAGGTGGTGTGGTTACTGGTATTTTCCAACAAAATTTGTACATAATCGCTATGGCAATGGTCTTAATTTTTCATCATTCTGAAACCTATGGATTGCAGAGAATTTACATAGTGGACTTTAATGTAACTATATATGCTGTATATGTAACTATGTGGATGATCCGTAAATTAACTCTTACAGTTTGCAGACAGTTTATAGAACAGTGATATCAATTAAAAAAAACATCATATATCAAGCTAAACCTTTTTTTGTTTTTAATTCAATATCCAAGTCTCACAATAAAATATCATCATAGTATGAACCTCAAGCTATTTATTATCCATATATATATATATATGGATAATACCGAGAGATATATCCATATCTCTCGGTACGATATTTTCACGATATTTATGTCACTGTACGATATTTCTTGTGATATTTTGTGAAGGCTAACAAAACTGTTAATATACTACTTTTTCCTCTTAAAATGCCTTTACATGACTTAATCCAAAGAACTAAGACTCAAAAGTGCTTCGAACTGTTATTTCTTCTTGTAGTCTGCATTGAAATGGAGCAAAAGATCATGGTCTATGTAGTTCTCTCTTTTTAACTGTCTCTTTTTTTAACTGTTGCTGCACCATAACTCTTAATTTAAGCAAAGAGACTTGTAATTCGATATATTGCGAGTGTCCACGATATTATTGTGAGAACTTTGACGATGCGATATCACGATATTTCGGTTATTGTTAAATCCCTAGTTCATTGTTTCATTTTAAATCATTCTGAAACCTACAGATTACTTAAAAGTTACATAGTGCACTTAAATGTATACTCTTATAGGCTGGCAATTCCTCAGAAATCTGTAAATAAAACAACCTATAGTTCCTCAATACCTTAAATAGCCCTCTGAACCACTGGAAAACTATGTATTCTCCGAAGTAGAAAGGAATTTGTGTTTCAGTGTAAAGTAAGTATCTGTAAGGTTGTATTTGTGCAGCTGACCGCCACTCTTGACTTGTTATTGCTCTGTTTATCTTTGACTCAGATAGCAAATACGCGTCTGATAAAAGTTAACATCAAAATTCGCTCTTGAACAGTCTACAAGCCAAAAATTCATAACCAAGTAAGTAAAGTTAAGTACTCTTTTTTTTTTTATAACGACACAACTCCTTATCAGGGCAAATACTGCAAAACTAACGTAGCGGACCGTTTTTATTTGCTGTGTCAGCTGGCTGTGGCATTGCCAGACTTGTGCGTAAACTTGCGTTCCTCGAAGTGAACAGAGGTGGCGCAGTGGAGCAGGCGCGCTTTGGAGGCGCGCAGGAGTCCGGGCGCATTCAGTTAAAACGGCACTTTCCGAGCAGAGAGCAGCAGGTCAGCCTCTCACACCGGACAATACAGCTCAGGACAGTCCAGGATCACCATGCTGCTGCTAGCCATACACTGGATTTTTAGCTCCTCCGTTTGTTTTCTTCTTCCAACTTGCGTGATCGGCTTCAACCTGGACACTAGTCATGTTGTGAGGAAAGACGGTGAACCGGGGAGTTTGTTTGGTTTTTCCATGACCATGCACCGGCAGCTCAACCCGGATAAAAGAATGTAAGTGACTGAGTGAACTTGTTGCTTTTGTTGTAGAAAAAACTATGATTTTCTCTGTCAGTGAATGTTCGTTTTGGTTGAACAAGTGCATCTCAGTTTCAGTGCAGCACCTGGCGAGGCAGGTTTCCCAAATTAACCACTGAACAGTCATAGTCACCAACTTTCAGGGCAAACGCATCGCTACATCCTTTGTCACGTTTAGAACAATGAAAAAACTTTCTCTTGTGCGCGGATTAAGAAGTTGGACAATGCTACACGCCTTTTACGCAGTAGTTACAGTGCTGGAGGATAAGAAGCCGTAGTTTGAGTTTCTTGTGATGGCTTTGAATTCGACTCTGCCGCAGGACAAGTGGACCACAATGGATGGAGTTGTCATGCAAATGAATCTAGGGTCAAACACAGGCAGAAAGAATGAATTGCAGGCTGTATCGCGTAGGATAATGTCAGAACACTTACGTATTTTAAGAATCGATTTAGCTGTTAAAACGCTGCACGTGGTAATGTGGAACCAGAAATGCCAGGAAAGTGTTACAATCAATAATGGAAATAATCACAGACCAGATGTCTACCGATTTTGTAGGCTTTGCTGTACATTAGTAAAGTCGTGACACTGGCGGGACATTTGTAATAACTTTGTATTTGCGTAATTTTCTTGTGCCATCTTTGTGTTTGTGATATTACTTAGCTTATATCATTTATTTATTTGTTTTAGTTAACCAAATTATCATTGTGAGGCTTTAATACGCTACAATAATCTTCAAACGCACACATATTGGGTTTTCATTTTTCTCAGGGACATTACATTAACTTCCTTCATTTATTTCCTGGGCCGATTCTAACCCTGTCCATAGTCACTATTTGCCTAACCTCCAACCTAATCCATTTAAACCCATATCTGAACTTTTAATCATATTATTCATCTAATGTTAAAGGATTTGTGACCGGATTTTTGTCCATATAAGCCACATAAGTGATTGTGTATTCAGATTTTGGTCCAGACAATGTGATAAATACCCACATACATACATGTTGAGATGCCATTCATTGGGTTCGCTCTGAGTTCAACTAATTCCTTACACATTGTAATACTATGCCCTGTGGTGGAACATAACAAAGTATAAGTAGTAAAGTACTGTACTTAAGTATAAATGTTAGGTATCTGTATTTTAGTTAAGTCAATTTAAAAGTGGATATATTTACTTTTTCTTCACTACATTTATGAGCAGGTAGGTTTACTTTCTACTCCAATACATTTTGAACAGGACTAGTCAATTTTATGATAGTTTGAGACCTGCAGAAAAGCCTGGGAGTTTATTATTAACACATCTGTGGTTTGAGCAAACAAAAATATTCAAATACAAACAGCTAGAAAACAGGATTCAGTTGTTTTTGTTGAAGAAAATTCAGCACAAGACTGTATCAAAATCTCTACATTTGAAGCTTAAGACCTGAAAATCTGTGCGAAATACTTCTTTCGCTCTTTAAATAAATGTTTAAATGACACTTTTACTTTTACTTGAATATTTCTTTGCTCTGGTATCTGTACTTTTACTGAACAAAACTGAGTACATCTTCCACCACTGACTCTTCCATTAATCTGATTTCATACTGACCACTGTGACAGATGCTAGATAGCCTGCCTGTCTCTCTGCTGAGTCTGACCATCCCTCCATTCAGAATTTAACAGCCGTGAAGTGAGGAGTGGTCCTCTGCAGCCGGGGCCCTGTGCCAGCATGTTGACAAATGTAAATCGAGGATCAGAGATTTTCCCAAGATCACCCTGATTAGGCACAGGTTGTGGAATGTTATCTGCGTGCTGTTTTGGCTATGGTGAGTAGAGCTAGTGCATGAAATGGTGTCTGGAATGTACAGCAAAGAGGCTTATTTTGTACAAGAACTGCACTGTAGGATCTTAAAGGGAATGAATGTAGTGTGTGTAGGGCAAACACTGGCTTGAAATGTGACACTGGGCCGATTGTTAGCTTTCTGACAGTAAAAGTAGGAAGGAAGTGAACATTTTGTCCACCTAAGCAGCAGTGCATGAAAAAATAGGTGACGTTTAGTTACATTTACCTTAATAATTTTTTTCACTCTGGTCTTGCATACATGCATATATTTATTGGTCTGATAATGAATATTGTAATACATTGTTATTTAGTTTGTTGTAATTGAGTCATTTCTTTTTTCTTTCTACATTAGCTTATTTAAACGTCCTATATTATGTGAAATTGATTCTTCACAAACCCTTTATTATTAGTCTCGGTACTAGGGATGTAACAATAACCGAAATATCGTAATATCGTCAAAGTTCTCACAATAATATCGTGGACCATCACAATATATCAAATTACAAGTCTCTTAAATTAAGAGCTGGTGCAGCAATAGCTAAAAAAAAGAAAGACAGAGGGAACTTCATAAACCATGATCCTTTGCTCTATTTCAGTGCAGGCTACAAGAAAAAAATAACAGTTCTAAGCACTTTTAAGTCTTTGTTCTTTGGATTAAGTCTTGTCAAGGCATTTTAAGAGGAAAAAGTAGCATATTAACAGTTTTATTTGCCTCCTCAAAATATCAATAAATATCGCACTGTGAGATGTATATCGTGAAAATATCGTAAAGAGAGATTTGGATATTGTTACATCTCTAATCATGAGCCTCCCCACCATATGGTGAGCTTTTGCACGATATTGCAATAAATATCGTAGCATGAGGTTCATACCATGACAATATCGTATTGTGAGACTTGGATATCATTACACACCTACTCACTACATCTTTTAAGATGAAAACTCTTTGTGCCACCTTGTGATGTCATGAAGCGGTAGGTAACAGCTACTTTCTACCCTTTGTTTAGTAGAGACTGGCAATTCCATGACTGAAATTATCCAAATGATTCAAGTCAAGGTGTATGGAGTATAAAAAAACAGTGAAGCACTTCCTGTATCACCATATGATATCACAAGGTGGATCAGAGTGTTTTCTGTTTGAGAAGAGCTCAGCCTAAATATGCAGAATTTGGTGTTAAACATGTGTGAATGAAACAAAACATAACTCCAGGTGTGTTTTTGATGACGAAACAATATTATAACACAGATCAGAAAAAAGCATCATATAGGCCCTTTAACAAAACCAACCAATCTAGGGCAAATCATTACAGTTTTGGGAAAAAGAACCACCCCGGTGTAGTTAAAAATATGTTTATACAATTGTTTTTTCTACCCTTTCCTGACATTCTTAAAGCAGGCTGGGATTTGCCTTTTTGAAAAGCTTTAGACAATACATTTGTGGTCAGCTTTCACACATTAGAGACTGGCCAATATTTGGATTTGTTAATGTTTGGGGTAACGGCTTTAAATCTCCAGCACAGACCAATATTTTGTTTTGGGTGACTTGCTGTCTAAAAAGACCCATAGAGCATTCTGTAAACACTTTAGTGCAAAAAGGTAACACTGAAAATGTAACTAAACTGTTCTTTTATGGGCTTGTGATGAAAAAAATGGCTGTGGGTGAGTTTTTAGTCAATTTAAATGACAGAATTTGGAGAAAATAATCAAAATCGGCTTTACATATCATCCTAAAAGCTATCGGCAGAGCATTTTGGCCATGGGTTTGTCTGGATTTGAAACAGTGTGTATCAGCCATGAAAAAAAATAACACATGGGCCAATCTCTATCACAAAAACAGAGTAGCACTTGTTTTTGTTACAGAGTTTGTTGTGAACTGAAGCTCTCACAGATACAGTGACTGAAGCATCATGTGACCTTCAGATGTTCAGACGACCGTGTCAAGTGTGAGCTCAGATTAGACATGAGCAGAAATAATCTAAATCCATTAAATTTGTCTTATTTTCTATATTAACTTTGTTGACAGATGTTGCAGCCAAAACATCTCAAAAAGCTAAATACATCTTCTACCATATTATTTTTAAAAGATCCCAAGAAGTTAAGGAGCAGATAGTTCAGAATTAGAGATGCCACATTATCATTTTTACTGTTGCAATTTATGTGAAAAGAAACACCACATTTTAGGATTCTTCTCTGTTGACACCAGACAAAAGTAACGATCATTCTCTTTCATTCACATTAGTCCTGAAATAAGTTCTATCAATTAATCACAACTAATTTGGTAATCAATTAATCATTATCTGCTCTCCACAAATGACAAAAGAAGTATGATGACGGAAACAAAGCGACAATTTCCCATCAGCATAAAACAGGAAACTGAAACAAGTTTTGGTTTTTGCAAATACTATATGCTCCATCAAGATGTGCTCAAACAGAATCACTTAAGCTTCTTCTGAATCAGACTGAGTAAAAATCTCATACTTGCATGCTTTATGCAATAATCAATAACAGATTTTTAAAAGAATAATTTGATTAATTGATTAACAAATGACTCATTGCAGCCCTAAGCCACATTGTCTAAGAGATAACTAACCATACTTCTATATGTACGCTTTATGAATCTTTATGGAACTTTCTGAATTAAAAAAAGTTAATGTGACACAAACATCCAAATAAAAGAGCACATTACATTTAGGGTTACCTTTTTGGAGTATGGATTCACTTGAAAAGATATATAATTTTTTAATTATTGTGATTATGTAACCTTTTTAGTCATGATTAGCAGTTATCCCATTTATGTTGACATCCCCAGCCGAGGAGACCCAACTGTACATGTAAAGTGGTAGGAAAAAGCACAGTACCCAGACGAAACCTCGACACAGGAAGAATATGCAAATTCCTCACACAAATGTTTGGTAATCGAGCCTTGCGTCTTCTTACTGTCAGGTAAAAGTGTTAACTGGATATCAAGATTATTGTAAGAACTAATGAAATGTGCACCAAAATGTAATGTGCATTTTTTCTTTTCTTTTTTTTTTACTGAATCAAATTTCAATTCAGAATTTATTGGATTTCCTGAAAGTGTTTCTTCTTTGCTAACCTAACATGGCTCTTGCCTCTTGATTCACCCCTGCACTGTTAACACCTGCAAATGTA